ACAGGCCCACTCGGGGTTCAAAGCACGGCTCATATGTTGTGATAATGACTTTTTCTTGCCAAGACACAGCGTGAAGCAAATGCTGTCCAGCTGAATGAAGGAAAGGGAGATAGAGTATATACTGTTTGCAGTGAGGCTGAGAGGAGAGTGAGGTGTGTTATGTTTGGATGTCAGCAGAGCCCTGCTTCATGAGCGCCTGCTGGAAGCTGCCGCTGGAAAGATAATAAAAGGATTAGACCTGTTTTTTTTAACAAAGCTGGGTCCTAAAACAGAATGTCTCAACCGTTTCCTCTACACGAATATCTTAAATACTTGAATGCCTTTGTCTATTGCATGAGCATAAGATAAACAAGAGGCATCGGGGCAACTGGCAAAAGATCCACAAACAGACAAAAACAAGGGACCTTTTAGAGGTTTGAGCTGAAAAAAATATACATACACTAACAGTCCTAACAATCCTTTGGCTTTATATGTGCAGAAGAGGTAATCAAGGATTTTGAATGTGTTAAAATTAAGGATATGATATATTAAAAGATATATATATTATTATTTCAATTTATTCAAGCAGTGCCAATGCAGGACTCGTCTTTATCCCAGAAATCTAGTTTAGTTTGTCCCAGAGCTCAGATTAAAGTGGACTTCTACCATCGTAAATCAACTACCATCTCAAAATGATTATGAGAATAAACCAATTTCATGAGCCTGTGGTCCACAGTTTGAACATTCCCTCCATTTGTTTTACGGTCCACACTTCAAGAATGGGACAGATTTACCATGTCAGCAAAGTAAACAGGACCACATCCAGTGATTTTTAGACTCAACAGACTTCGGTTGAAATAAATTTGGCTTAGTATACCAACATAATTAAAGAAACTGTAAGCTGTTTTTTTTCCTTTTTGTTGAGAATAAAGGAAAATTCCTTTTAAATAGATAAATAAATAAATAAGCCAAAAAATCTAGTAAAACTTTTGGCATTCAATGCAAGACTTTTTGTATTTTTGGATCTAGGATAATTTACAGAAGATTATACTTCTTTAAATTTTTTTTGGAAATATTGCATTTTGTTCATATTTTTGGGACATTTTACTTATATTTTCATGTTTGGAGCCTTTTGGGGGATCCATGTAGGGCTGCAACTAATGATTATTCTGCAAATTGATTAATCTCTCCATTATTTTTTCGATCAATCAATTAATAATCAGATAGCCAAAGGTTCCTTAAAGAAGTCTTTATGAAATTAAACCAGATGAAACTCAAGCTTTTCCACTTCAGGAGGCATGTTTTAGAGTCTCCATACTCCAGTTAACCATTAATCGATTATTAAATTAGTTGAAGATTATTTGAATAATCGATTAGTCATGATTAATCCGAGATCCGCAAATGATTTTACTGTGTGACACATGCATTTAGAACATTTCTGTTTAGAATCACTCTAACTAGAAACTTAAAAAGGATAAAACATAATGTAAGGTAGTGTAAAATACCAATATAATATTTCTGCTTTTACAATCCCTTACTTTATTCCAAACACAGTCTAGTCGTAAAATAACATGCAACCATGATCTCCTATTGTATCACTTTGTCCTTTCTCATCATTAAAGTTAATCCACAAAGAGAACAGGGGGTTAAGGGTGCATTCAAAACAAGGAGCTGGATTTGCAGAACATAAGGTATGTGACTTACACCTCACAATGTTTTGAATGAGATTCATATCAATGATTTACCAGTTTTATAGTGTCTTTACTTTAAGATTTGTTCTTGGCTTGTCTTGGGCTTTATGCTCCTGGTGCAATTGGGATAAAATACGTTTGGACTCTACCAAATAAAAGAAAAACACTAAAGATCTTATTTGCTGGAGGTTAGAAATTAACTCTTTATAATCTCTTAAAGGAACTCTCTAAACTTTCCAAATATACACAGTTCATTCACTCAGTAAATGTGTTTATTTTTACCCTGGCTTATGAGTTTATCTTATAAAGTTTTCAATCAACATGAAGGAAGTCCATATGGACTTAATGTGTTGCAATCCAAAATAGTACCTGCATCAATCCTTTGGAGTGAAACTCAAATCATACAATGGGCCCATTTTAGCTTTCTGCTCTCGTGCATTTATGTGCTCGGACTAAGGGTGGTCAGGAGGTTACGGTTTGTTGGAGAGTTTTGACTGTGTCTCATGTCTCAGACAGAGTCCAGAGGTTTGTCCACAATGAGCCAAATTGTTCTCATGTTCACATATGGTAAACATCCCCCAAAACATTGTCACACTTTCTGAGAGTGTATACAGTACAAACAAACATTCCCAAAGTGCACGCTTGTGATTTGACAGAACTCGAAGAAAAGATACATCTGCAACAATAAAGGGACAAGAAAAAATAAACCTAACAAACATGAAATACTACTAAGATGTAAAGCTGAACTACCAAAGAGTTCATGGGAAGAAAGTAATTAGAAAGAGATAACAATCAACTTTTTTTTAATCCCTGACTGGTTATTAACAGGTTTAATACTGAAAAATCTGATCGTTTTTAAGCATTACACAACAGCATTAGTTTGAGTTTAATAAAAATTATATAATATTACTGGCACAAATGTAAGTCCATTTCAGTTGGGGGGCAGATTCTAAGACTCCCTATAATTGTAAATAAAAGATATTTTTTCATAAAAAATATAATAGCAGATGTGTACCTTACACATACAGTAGCAGCCTAGACTATAAATAAAGAGAATTATTAAAAGAAGAATTGTATTATTTATCTCAAGTAATAGCATTTTTATTTTAATTAGGTATTTCCTTTTCCTGCAGGATCTGTCTGCATTAGGTTTCAGATGGCTGCTGCTTATCTTCATGGTTACGCTGCTAAATGGTCGGCAGAGTAACCTAGCAGGCTGAGGGCCTGTGTGCTATATATCATGAAAATTGAAACTGTGAGTAGTTCAGGTGGTTAATACTTTCATCTTAATGTATAAAAAGGCAACACGGTAGCTGAGTATTTTAGATAGTAAGCTTCCAGAATCTCTCTCTTTGCTATTATTTCATGTCAGGTCATTTGACGTAATATAAATGTGTTTTTGTTAGTAAAGCCTAAAAAAAAATGCAATTCATCCTTTATTTCAAATTATGAGACTAAAATCGATGCTGATGCTTGATGAGGCTACATCATAATAGCGCTTTACATCGTGAAAACTTTTGTTTTTTGTTTGAATTTCTCTTTGCAGATTGTCACCAAGGCCCAGTCTATGCTAAATATGTTTATCTTTGACTGGCTGTTGCCTAATAAATGACAGTCAAATTTTTATTCAGTAATGTTTAAATGAATAACATTCAATATTGAGGAAACCAAAAAACAGCTTTATTAGGGTTACACCATGAGACTTCTTTTAGGTCAGGGCCTAGAAATCGACTAAGTCTTTGCAACAGGAACTGGGAACCTCCAAAACCAGTTAAATTCAGAGACTGCTGCTCTAAACGACATGGTCACGCTGAAAACAGTTGTTTTAATGGGTTTGATAAGCATCATCTAAATATGCTTTTACGTTGACAAAGGGAGCAGCAGGGAAGTACGGAATTTCCCACCTCAACTTCATCCTTAGCAAAAACTGAGGGTTGAATAAATCATTAGTTTTATCTTCTTTAAGATTAGAGTTGAACAATTTTAGCACAAATGGCTCAAGAGAAAAGCATTCTTATTTTGTTTTTGATGTTTTACTATGCTTTCTGTTTTATAATCACTGTATTTGTTTGTATCACTCAGTATTTATATTTCTAAATGAAACTGAGTCAAGACATATATGTGAATGATGTTTTATATCTTATTTTTTTTAAATATATTTTATCTTTTGAACCAAAGATTTCTTGAGGGGAAAAAAATTAAGAAATAACAGAATTTTATCATTCATGTTTTTATGTAAGAATAACTAAATCAACTTATTCCTTTACTCCATTGAAGCTCAGAACTGCTTCCTCTATCAGAAAACCTTCAACAATAGGAAACTAATCGAAGAATTTGTATTGGCAAGAAATGGCCTTGTCTGTGCATCTGTATTTCTTTTTTAAAACAATGACAATAAAGATATATTTTTAGGTTAAACTCCAGAAGTTTTCAAACCTAACTTGAACAGAACTGATTCTGACAAGGGCTCTAAGTCAAAACCATGATATTGAGCAAGATGTGCAAATATTGCAGACCATCCCTCTGCGGCTCCCTTTAAGCAGACTGCCGCATTTCTCCTCATGTTTGGCTTGGATTTGAAGCCAACTCACTTAATACTTGTGGGACAGCTAAACATTTAAAGCTCCCATTTAAAAGGATCAAGTGCGGGCATTGTTTGGTTATGTTCTCCATATGTGTTGGCTTTTTACTATTTGAATCCTTTCTCCAAAAAAACAGCAGAGCACTTGTGAAAATAAACGTGGCTTCAACCCTACACAAATTGTGGACTAATAGCATGTTTGGACAAAACCAGTCTTAGGATAGAGGGGATTTTTCCATTTGTGAAAGGACGTGGGGGGAAATGACAGTTTGATGTTGATCTGTTAGAACATTCGTGACACTGGAGCTCTACCTGTAAAAAAAATAAAACAGCAAATCTATTTATTCTTATGAGGTGGAGCTGCTCCTGCACAATCTGTGTAGAAAATATATATATATTTTTTTGTGGTATGTGTAAAGAAAAATGTTTTACTGGAGAGTTTTTTAATAAGAATACAGTTGTAGCTCCAAACTCCTCAAATAAACTAATTTCTGCCAAAACAAAAACAAAAAAAGCAAACTATGGAGTTGCATAATTGCTGCAACCCTTTTTAAGGGTAAAACACATTTTCTCAATTAACTCTGTTAAGGATATGACTCTAAAAATGTTGTCTCCTAAAAAACAAAAATAAACAACAAAATATATCCTAAATTGACAGCTGGAAGGGGACACTTACTGATCTTAGACAATATTGTTATATGTCTGACCATTATTTTTCCAGATGTGTTGGGATTTTTTTATGAACTCACCATGCACTTGTTGGGTTTCTCACCAGAGTGGACCCTCATGTGAATCAGCAGCTTGTAGCGGGCGTTGAAAGGCTTGTAACGCCGAATGCAGCCAGCCCAGAAACAGGTAAAGTCCTCCCCTTTTCTCTGGTCAATGTGGACTTTCTCAATGTGCCTAACAAGCTCCTCCTGCTGCTCATAAGCGGCGCTGCAGTCGATCCAGCGACACACCTGCTTTTCAGTCTGTTCTCCTCCTCTGACTTCTTCCCGCTCTGAGGTTGTGTTGGACGCAGTTGGGGGTCCAGGAGTTTGTTTTAGTCCGAGGGGGGAGGCTTGTGCCGACTGTTGGCTCTGGTGCTGAAGGTGCCCCCCGGGAGTGGGGCCCGGATATTGGTGCAGGTGATAGGGAGGAGGCATAGCTGATCGGGACGGGTGGTGAGAGTGACGATGGTACCCACTGCGGCCACTCAGGTGATGATGGTGGTGATAATGATGCTGAAAGATTTCGTCTCCAGTTGGAGAGAAATCATCAAGAGGTTCCTGCTTAAGAGCTGCCCCACATCTTTGACCATCATCCAACAGGCAGCCAGCTTCGGAACCGGAGGTTAAAGTTCCAGACATAAAGGTCCCACTCATCAGTAGTCCCAAACCGTCCAAACCTCTTTCTTCACCTTCCTCAGCTGTTCCTCCAGACCCAAGTCCCCGTAGCATGGAGACTTGCTCCTCACAAAGCCCAAGGCTCTGCCCAAGGCCTGTCTCTGGCTCCACTAATGACCCTGAAGAAGAAGATGAGGAGGAGGAGACTGACAGGGACAAGAGGCAGGTCGCAGGTGAGGATAGCTGACAGCTCTCCTGTAGCGCTCCTTGCTGGGGGCTGCTGTGACGTGGGGGCCTCCGAGGGGCTTCCCGCTGGCAGGTGAGAGAGGGTGGGGAGGTAGAAGACGAGGAGGAGGATGACGAAGAGAAGCCGGCGCTACTAGCGTTGCTGGGTGAGAGGTTAGTTCGGAACCCGTTGACGCATGCAACTGTCGACATGTGGGTGGAGGACCCGATGGCTGCAGTGATATTGATTTCCTTGGAGGGAGTGCCAATGGCTGATGGGGAACTTGTTGCGGTGACACCGCCTGTGCCAGCAGCGGTAGTGGACTGTGAGGCCAGGGACAGGCAGCGCCTCTTCACACTGCTAGCGATGAGTAGCCGCGCTGAATGATGGGAGCTAGTTGGGGACAAAGCCAGTGGGGAGGAGTCATCTCCATTATTAAAAGGTTGCACTGCATCTCCTGACACAGCACTACCTGCACAGCTCACTGTGCATCCGCCATTTCCATTACTGCTAATATGCAGGGCTGCTGCAATGTCATCCCTTGATGCCTCCATAGTTTGACCTGCCCTACAGGCCTGAAACACAGACTGTGGCAGGCCTCGGGCATTGGAGGTTCTGTGTCCAGTTGAGCTCTCCTGTTTAATTGAGTAAGGGGCAGAAGAGTGAACCATGTTGGCACTGCAGCCAAGGCCGTCTGGGGCTCCAGGCAGGGCCCTCTGGAAGGCAGAAGTGCTTCTGTAAATGAGAGAAAATATGAGCTGCATCAGCTCCATTTGTGCTGATTGAATCTTTCTTTTTCATCAAAAATGTTTCAAATGAACCTCAGATTCATGGCAGAGTTAAAGAGAAAATACAAAGTTCTGATGTCATTTAAGAAGCACAGGCTGCCTGTGATCTAGTTCTGTTTTATGACATATTGAAAATAGATCTTCTCCTAGTGAAAGGATATGAATGAGCATTTAAGACTAAGGAAAGCGAGACGGGGGAGGGTAGGATGGCTTGTGAGACCGAGAGGCCACTAGCTAGTGTGTCCATCTGACAGGCTTTGATGACACAAAGGGGTTAAACCCAACCCTGCATTGGGGATAAATAAGGAGTCACCTGTTTTGGTGCCATAATTGCGTCCTATGAAGGGTCGCCCTTTACAATACTGTGTATTATGGTGGGAATCTTTGCCCTTCTGAATGGGAAACCCAGGTCATATTTCCCCATGCGTTGCTGTGATCTCCGACATAATCATTCCTGTCAGCTGGCTCATTATGGATTTTGTCCAAAGCCCCTGAGTGATGTGAGAAGAGCTCACCTTTCTCCAGTCTGTCTCATTCAACTATCATCTTTGTCCCTTCCTCTGAATTTATTGAGGAAGGAAAAAGAAAATGAGCAACCACTAGCCAGAACAGGAGAGAATAATCTGCAGAATATGTCATTGTTCTAATTAGTAAAAATATGATCCCCTTTTTCTTTTATGTAAAATAACAAATTTGGATTTAGCTATATAAAGTATATTGAGAGATAATATAGAAAATTTTTCAATTCAATTCAGTTTATTTATATAGCGCCAAATTCACAACACATGTCATCTCAAGGCACTTTACAGTTCACCAGATCATCCAGTCAAATTGATACAAAGTTTTCTGTCTAAGGAAAACCAGTTGATTGCATTGACTCAAATACAATCCCTCACACTAAGCATGCAACATCACGTAAGGTTTATTTTAAATAACAGAACGGGGTTATAGCAACCATTACAATGTCTTTTGAATCAAAACTAATTATAGATTTACTTAGCAATAAATTACACTGTCTACATGATGTAGTTTACATCACCATTTAACATTATCATCACCATAACATTATTAGTGCTGTAGCATTAAAACGACAATATATTTCCAACTTTATCTGAAGAAATCAAAAACAATAGTGACAGTTTTACCTGCTTTCATGGTGAGGGCCATTCTGCAGAAGAAGTTCAGGTGCTGGTCTGCTGCAGTGAAGGCTTGGGGGGTAGAGCCCTTGTGAAAGGCCCCCCGCTGGCAGGGGTAGGCTCTGCCCACAGCGCATTAGGGTGCCATCGGCATCGCCCAACTCAGAGCTTTCATCTTTCTCTGAGCAGTAGGCTCCATTTACTACAACAAAAACAACAGCAATCAAAACAAGACAGGCTGTTTTACATGTGAACAGAGCCTATGCTCAGCATTTAGACAATGACACTATCCATCTCTAAAATGTGCTGACATCACAGTTTTATTTAAGAAAAGCAAAATAGTAACTCTCTGTCTCTGTAAAATAAAATAAATACTGACTTAGTAGATCTTGCTCACTCATTTTCTGGCTTTCCTGAAGTAACAATGAGTTTAAACTTGGGGTTGTGCCTTCAGTGACATGTTGAAATCTTATTACATTATGAAGGATCTCTTGAGGAATAACTGTTGGCTGTCACATCTGTAAGATTGAGTGATATATTAAGAGCTGCCTGGCAAAGTGCAGCTGGTAGTTGTAAGAATTTTGCCAGATAGATCCATTACTGTCAACACCGGTGTAATTTAAGGGGGGTTTGTTCCAAATGGCAAAACCTTCATTTTGTATAAAAACAATGGGTTTGTACAAGTTATCCCACCACTAAAACAGTTGCACAATTTATTAATGTTGACTTATTTGCCTTCAGTGTCTTGCAAAGTTGTCCATATCACTTGAAGCATTTTATTTTATTTTATTTTTTTACATTTTAACTCCAACTTCAGTGTCAGTAAAAAATAGTTGACTTTATTTTAATTTAGTCACTACCAGTACTAACAGACTAAAGTAACCTGTACATGTTTCTTTGTAAAGTGGATCAAATTCAGTCAGATGAGATAGAGAACATCAACTTCTTAATTGCATTGGGTCTGGACTTGTATGGAGACCTTTACCACAACTGTGCTTAAAAATGTTTGTGGTGTGTTTTTATCAGCTTTACAGAGACTAAAATGTCAACTAATAGTTGCAGTTTAGCTCAATGTCACGATAGCTCTTCTGTGAGCATTTATTATAAACCACAAGTTCATACAGACTCTGTCAACAGAAGCCATTGTATTTAATGTGGTAATTAACATGATCCCCATAGCTTTGCTGCAGGACAGACACCTTTTTCAGTCCTCGATCATATTTATGGATTGCATCTATTTTTGATGGATGATGGAGCAAATCTTGGAAATGCTTAGGAACCCGATGAGTGAGAAACAAATCTCAATCAAGAGCAGTGGTTTCAAAAGTACACATTTGTTGCTTAAGTAGAAGTATAGATACTGCAGTTTAAAAACACTCTGGTAAAAGATGAAGTATCAACTTGACCTCTAAACTATTTAAAGTATAAAAGTATAAAGTAACCTTTAAGAAAAAAAAAAAACAGAGCCAGATGCCACTATATGAATTGAAAGCTCAATTTTTCAACTATTTCGAAAAAGGCCAAGGATGAGGGAGGTCTTGTTGGTCTCCATCTCCATCTCCCGATACGCTCTCGCCTGTGTCCGACCTGTCAGACATTTGAACATCTTTTTCTGAACCCAGACATTGTAGCATAGTGTAACCAAGTAGAGAAAATGACTTTTCTCTTCCTACTATTTGTAAAATAATTTAGAGTTTTAATTTGAAAAAACATTTATTTTGAAAGGAGGAAATGTAACTTTCACTCCGTTGCTTTACTTCCTGTTTTCACGAACACGTTGCGGTCTTTTTGCACTCTTGAACACGAGCTAGAGAGGCTGTGTGACTAGGTCTCTTGCGGTGCTCATGCTGAAACCTCATCTTGTGGAAAGGAATACGAGCTAGAGAGGCTGTGTGACTAGGTCCCTTGCGGTGCTCGTGCTGATACCTCAACTTGGCTAGGTTTTTTCTGATGGT